TCTGCTTCAGCTTTCCTTTTTGACGTGAACAGGACTTTACTTTCAGCCAAGTTAATGCTGCTTATCCCCCCCCCCCCGCCCACCCCCAGTCTCTCTTACCAGTCGATGGGACAGCACTTTATAAAGAGCTTAGGCTTTAACTTCTGTTTGGGAGTTTTACGTTAGATGTTAGTAATTCTTTTGTGCTAATTGGGAAAGAAGACGCCCCTGGAGACTGAAGCTGTCTTCTGCATTTGGGTTAGTTTGGGTGGCTAATGAGACCTGAACTGTGTTGTCAAAGAAACTGCATAGATTTCTGGAAAATGTCACAGTTGTGTTGATGTGTCTACCTATTTTTTAAATGTTGTTTATGTTTAGAAACTGATGAAAAGCTCCAATAGCCATTAGGGAAAATTCCAATTTGTGTCTTTCCGGTGACTTAATCTGATTACAATTAAAACAGATGCATAATTAAAATATATTAGGGAGAACAGCACGCCTGGCTAAACTTATTAACCGTCCTGGGGTGTTTCATGCTCCATTGAAATTAAACCATCCAAAAAGTGAGCACAGATTTACTTTGACAGCTTTTCAGCAGCCTCTCTGGGCTACGGAAAGTGAATGGATCCCCAGGGTTAGGGCGAGGCAGTGAATGAACTTAAGCAAAGTGGTTGATAGTGAGGGGAGGTGAGGCAGAAATCTTCTAGTGATAATTAGCCATATTCTGTATTCTCTGGTGTGCCCACTCTCCCGCTAAAAGCATGTTCATGGATGTATGCCTTCAATCTGCAAATTTTTGTTGTGAAATCTCTTGATAATAGGTACAGGAACATCTAGCAAACCCTTCTTAATGTATTTTATGTAGTGTCTATCAGAGGCTCATTGATAGGAAGCTACTGTTAGATTTAAACTTTCTTCAACTTTTAAGCAGTGTACTGAGTTTAGCAATTACACTGCATGCCATGAGAAATAGTCAGTGTGTAAAGAAGAGTGAGTTGAGCTGCTTTTGTTCTCCCCAATTTTTTATAATGGTGCACCTGCTATTTCTAGGGAATTGGTGGACAAGGCTTTTGCTTCCAAAGATTGGTGACTTTTCACTTAAACGAGCTCAGGGATGAGTCTGGGCAGTTACTCGCTCTGCCGGGGACAATTTGAATAGTAAGCATTTAAGCCAAGAATATAGAGCTTATAAAAAAAGAAACTTATTGTAATACTGTAACTGTTGTAGAACACTGTGATGAATCAAGCATTCCTGTTGTATGCTCTTGTTAATTGCTGTCCAGTTCTTTAAAAAGTACATCAGAAGAAATTATCCTCTAAAAATTAAGGCTAGAGCTAAACTAAATTTGCATGTACATGTTTCTAGAGGTCTAATGCTTATTCTGTGCTCTTGAATCATCAGTAATGTTAGGACATTGAAACTTGGGAAGAACGATGTGACCGTGAGTCGTGCTTGATGGTTGGTAGATGTTATAAGTTCTTCACATAGGTCAGTCAGATGGAGTGTTAACATTTCTGACTCCTACCTACTAGCTACATAGATGAATTTAATGTGATGATCTTCCCTCGTCATCTAATTGATAGCATGCTCAGTATGATATATATGAGAGGTCTTCCAGAAGTTCATGGGAAGAGTCGTATTACCTTGTAACTCAATTTTTCTATGAACTTTTTGAAGTACCCTCATAGACGTTATGTATTGGTGTAATATTGGGGGCATGTAAGTATGAATTATACTTTGATACATTTTGAAGAATACATCTTACTCTGATTTCTTAGTAGCAGAACTGCATATGCAGTCGCGTACTCATAAGAATGTGAAATCCTAAGAGAAGGAAACTTTGTTTTTATACCCTAGAAATTATGAAGTGTATATTAATAAGAACACTGAACTTATTGCACGCACAGAATGTGACAGTGATTCATTGCCAATGCGCACTATAAATTGTGGCTTTTCAGATATATTTTTTCTCTAACTACTGTAACTCACTGGTGTGTGAAGGGGAAAGAGAGCTGGGGAGCCAAGTGTAAACTAGGATATTGGTATTGTGTTTATTTCCAACTACTCCATTTCAGACTGCAGAGATTCACATTTAAAACGTTGCTTAAACTACACCTGGATTCTGCTGTCTCTGCCCACCCCCCGCCGAACTTTTGTAAAATACTGTAAGGAGAGGCCAGTGCTGGAAGTGAAGAGAGCGGTGTTCAAGGAGGGAGATGGCTCTTGTGTCTGACTTGCTTAACCTAATCAAATCCTGTTTTAGCCTGAAGAATCTGACGTTTACTTTAGGAGGGCTTTCTATTGCTTTAGCTTAAACGTTATTGCTGTGGTACTTCTCAAAGTTATCATTTCTTTTAAATATAGTGATCAGGTTTACTTTATAAGCTGTATATATAATTACTTTCAGTGTTTTTGATGTAACTTGGTTGAAATTAAATGGTAACATGAAACTTTCTTATAGCAAAATCAATTTCCGTAGGGTAAAATTTAATATTTTATAAGTGTTTCTGTGCTGAACTTAAGAATATCCCTATGATGTGATGAAACAGGCAGTGGAAGAGTAGAATTCACAATATCTGATGAAAAAGCATATATGGTTTTATCTTCGTCTTTCTTTCCCTTTTCTTCAATCTAGTAATGACTATTGAATCTTAAGTTGTGGTTAGACTAAAGTTGGAATTATAAATAGGCAATATTTACCAAATTTTAAGTCATATTATATTGTAACTCCTTGAAGGATCCTCTCTTATTTTCTGGAGAAAATTAGTGTTTAAGTCAGTGGAAAACTTGCTGACTCCAAATTTCCTGCTCTCTTACATATTTTTTGAGGATGACATGGTGTCATTTTTCCTTCATCCTTTTTGAAAATACTGTTAAAAGTTTCTCATGGAGATAACACTATGAGAGGAGCCAGTTTACTGCAAAGCAAACAGGTAACCCATAATGCTGTTTTGAAATCTGATTTCACTTTGCGCATATCAGTTGTTGACATGTCCTTTATGACATGCCCTTTACGATATATAGACAAGTAAATAAGATATTGCAATTTCTACATGTTTTTAATTCTCACATGAGTGAAATAATTAGTTTTAAAAAAAGGCAATTTGAGGTTTGGGGAGTGGAAAATGTGTTTGTGGCTCCTATGAAAAATTTTTTTACTTATTGTCCATTCTGCATTTGTTAAACCAACCATGATCATTAATATTACCTATAGGTCTTCTAGCTATTCCGTTGTGCAATAATTGTGTGAAACTTGGAGAAACAACTCCACAGCACACATTTCTACTTGTGAATTAAAACTACCCCAAACTCTTAATAGCACATTCCTACATTAGTTTTTCACTTGGGTGTAAATGTAAATCTCGGATTTTATGGAATTGCTAGTTAAGATTTTCTTCATAATGATTTTACTATTTTGTTTGTTTGTTTTGTGGCTCACCGATACAGGGATCCGAACCTGTGACCTTGGTGTTATAAGGCTGCGCTCTAACCAACTGAGCTAACTGGCTAGCCTCTTCATAATGATTTTAATGTGCATTATTTAAAATGAAGGAATGGAAGATTTAAGGCATATTAATAATTTTTTCAAAACCTGCTTTTTTCTTTTTCTTTTTTTTTTCCTTTTTGTCTTTTTTTTTTTTCGTGTCCGGCAACGGATCGCAACCCTCAGTGTCGCGCCCGTACCAGACCGGGACCGGCAACGGGATCACAACCCTCGGTGTTGCGCCCGCACCTTGCTCAGCCAGTGAGCGGGAACCGGTCTGTATGTGGGATCCGAACCCTCGGCGGGAGCGCCGCCGCGCCCCCAAGCAGCGCACTGTAGCAGTGCGCCACCGGGCCGGCCCAAAACCTGCTTTTTTCTAAAGATACTCAACTCTTCCTTCTAATGTTATTGTTAGTCTGGATTTTGGCTGGTACGATAAGAATCCCTTGTGAAATGATCAATCACTCTGTTAACTTCTCTCTAAAAAGTTCTCTGTAACAGATTTGCCTTGAACCAATCTGGGATTGTTATCTTAAAATTCCAGTGTGTTAACCACTGAAGGCATGCCTGGTATTTAGTAAAAGCATGTTTAGAAAGCATT